AAGAGGATCCGACACCAGCTGAGAGGATGAGAGGCCTGGAATACGAAGATATGCTTCAGGAAAAACGTGTTCAATTCAGTGAGCTGTTTGGAGAGCAAAGAAACAGGACAAAAGTGAGTGAAAACACAAAGATACATAAAGTCTAAATCTGTGGTCTGCTACTGTTTGTTCAAGCCCATCTGAATGTATTGACCAATTTCATATTTCTTGCTCTGTTTTTCAATTAAACAGAAGATTTTTTTTTAGGTCAAAGGGCACATTAGGTGTATAACTGATGCCTTATCTACACTAGCGTTCAAAAGTTTGGGGTCATTAAGATTTTTTTTTTAAAGAAATTAATAGTTTTATTTAGAAAGGACACATTACATTGATCATTGAACATTGATTAAAAGGGACAGTATAGACTTTTACAGTGTTACAAAAGATTTCCATTTCAAATAAATATTGTTCTTTTTCTTTTAAACTTTCTATTCACCAAATAATTCTGAAAAAATGGTATCATGGTTTCTGCAAAGGTATGAATCATGTTTTCAACAATGATAATAATAAGAAAAATTTTTTGAGCAGCAAATCAACATAGAATGATTTCTGAAGGATTATGTGACACTGAAGACTGGAGTAAAAGCTGCTGGAAATTTAGCTTTGCCATCACAGGAATACATTATATATTAAAATATATTAAAATGGCACACCACAGCTCCAAAAGTAGAAAAGTATTTAATTATGTTCTCACCACAGGTGAAGTTTCGAGCCTAAAAGCTCTTCATCAGACCTGATGATTTTCCTGTTTGAACATTTTTGTGGTTGAGCACCTGCATTGAGCTTTTGGCCGGTTGGATGTGCGCACTTTGATTGGAATCTTTTTATGCAGTTTTGTCATCATAAACTGGCTAAACAAGTATTTTCTGTCAAGCTAGATTATTAAGGTTCTCATTAAAAGTACATAATGTAATCATAATGAAATCTTAATTATCATCAACACTCATTTTTTCACTGTGACTATAACTTAAATGCAGCCAACTTGGAAAGTCATGGCTAAAGTAAAGTTTCGCACTGTTGGTTCGGTTCATACGTGACATACTAAACCTGAATGTAGCATAAACTGAAAGGCTTTCCATACTACTCATGTTTTAGATCACAATCACCATCAAGTACATTTCTATAGCATCACACACCTGCCATATTATCATGAAGAGGTAGATTCCAGCCACCCTCTGAAAAGAGGATTTGGGGTCAAACCAGCGCACATACGTCCAGCTGGCCGGAGTGAACTGCAAAACAGCCCGCTTCAGCTTGCCTGTGGTTGTGTGGATATCCCTGAACACATACAAAACACACAAATGACCCGTTTACAATAATCCTAGACACATGAACATCCTTGTACACTACCTCAGTGACCTAAAAACCCTGGATCAGATTATTCAACAAGAATGTAGCGCAAAACAGGTTTGGAGTTAGCACAGATAACTAATGTTGGCTTCATGGGGAACAGCCACAGATTAATCGTAAAAAGAGCTTACTTGATACTGGCCCAGTGGTAGGTACGCATCTCTAAAAAGTGACACATAGTCATGCCAAGCCAAATGCCCCCTCCATTGCACAACAGGATGTCAAGAATGACTTGATCCCACCAGCACTCTGCAAAGTTTGGCAGGAGGTGCATGAAGAACAACTGAATGAGGAAGAAAGAGAGAGTAGAGAGAAATATAAAGCAATAAGCGGTGGTATGCACTATATAACAATCCAGGCGGTTTCCACTGTTCAGTACTGCTCAAGGCTGTATTGTGAATTAGTGATAATCTCAGCAAATGCATCTGGCATCAGCTCATATAATGCTTACTGTTCAAAAACTTTAGACTGGTAGTGTAGGCTGATTATTCTTAGAGATTGAAAGAAATGTGCATCAGCCAGAAATAAAGGGTATGAAAAGTGCTCCGAGTCGCTGCAGAAAACAACAAAATTGAACAACAACAAAAACTGGAAATGTTACTGGAGTCGGGCTTATTGAAAATGCTAATTCATTCTCTGCCAGCAGGAGGCGCTTTTAGAGCGATAAAACTAGCAGTTTCCCTGGTAATAGCTGTAATCAAAGCAGCTCCGCTCAAGTAAACGCTAATTTATCAGATAAAAATTAATATGTCATCCAAACTTTTCTGAAGACACTCGGTTCCCTTCAGAGATTCATTCATATAAAGCACCCGCGCCGCGTCAGTGCTCACGTTTATTCTACGAAGTCAAACGCCACAAATAAATCAATGCATGGGAAACACTGGTAATGTATATCGAAATATCGGAAATGTGTTTAAAAATCATATCACCGTTATTGAAAAGAATTATATCGCGATACATATTGATATTGAATTATTGTCCAGCCCTAACTGAGAAGCAATTGAACAATGACTGTACCGTTGGGGAAGGCAAGAACACTGATAACAAGAAAGAAAGAGCCAACCAGCAGTAGACCCACACGCAGGTTATTATCAGAATCACCATCATCCCTGCCAAAATTAAAACATGAGGTACAGATAACATATCAGAACCATGACTACGTCACAGAACCCTAACCTTTCACAATGTCACCAGATTTTTGGGGTGTTAGTTTTTATTATTTATATTTTGCATTTTCGTTTTAGTACCTAATTGTGTTGTTTTTTTGTCATTTTTGTTAGTTTGTGTTTTTTTTTTAAATATGATATAGTTTTTGCTTTTTTTCAGAAAATTAAGTTGAAATAAATAAAAATGAGAAATGCTGCCTTGCTCTTGACAACTAGTGTGTTTTTTTCATTTCAGTTAAGGTTTATTTTATTTCAAGAAACGATTTTTTTTATGGTTTTAGTTAACTATAAGTGAATACATCACATTAACAGTCATTATGTCATTCAAAAATACATTGAACGTTTTAAAATAGAAAAAAAAAAACTTTTAAAATAGTATTATCAATATAATCAACAATTTAAAGTTGTCCCCCGAGGTTGTGTATAAACACTGTGTTATCATAACTCAAAGTGGCATTGAAAAACTCGTGAAGTTTAAAAAAATATATTTTTTATGAGTTTTTCAAATAATTTAAAGCATTTGCTAACCTGATCTGCGTTGTTTTTTTTTTTTAAATATGATATAGTTTTTGCTTTTTTTCAGAAAATAAAGTTGAAATAAATAAAAATGAGAAATGCTGCCTTGCTCTTGACAACTAGTGTGTTTTTTTCATTTCAGTTAAGGTTTCTTTTATTTCAAGAAACGATTTTTTTTTATGGTTTTAGTTAACTATAAGTGAATATATCACATTAACAGTCATTATGTCATTCAAAAATACATTGAAGGTTTTAAAATAGAAAAAAAAAACTTTTAAAATAGTATTATCAATACAATCAACCATTTAAAGTTGTCCCCCGAGGTTGTGTATAAACACTGTGTTATCATAACTCAAAGTGGCATTGAAAAACTCGTGAAGTTTAAAAATATATATTTTTTATGAGTTTTTCAAATAATTTAAAGCATTTGCTAACCTGATCTGCGTTGGCAACATTGTAACAAAACCTCTTCATTCCATTTAAACTATTTAAGCTGAAATGTGGGTGTTGACTGGAGGAAAGATGAGCGATGCTACCATCTTCTGGTCTGAATGCGAAGCGAAGATCACTTTGGAAATGTTCTCTGTTGTTCTTCATCTAATTCAGTCCGATCTAAAATCAGTTTAATCTAATCTGAATCTAAAGCCTTTCTTTCTTTCTTTCTTTCCATTTAATGCTTAGGGCTACAGTCATATTTTAGTCCGCATAATAAATATGCAAGCTAACAGATCTGTTCCCTTTTTATTATTATTATTATTTAGATAATATATTTTGGGGGGAATTTTTAAGTAGTATTATATTTTTGCATATAATGTATTATGTATTTATATGTATTTGCACAATTTTCTTTGACAATAATATTTATATATATGAATAAATGGGGATTTGTTTGTTTTTTTAATCAAATCTAGATTTGATTTGCTACAATTTTATTACATCTTTGGATGAGTGTTGGCAAAAAATCCACGTAGTCTGATTAGCCAGACCTATAATTGTGCCACTTGGTGGGCTGGGTATCTTTTACGGTTGTAGTTGAGGAAAGGTGTCTAGGTGACATATAATATGTTATTGAGATCTTTCAAGCCATGGCCAATTGTTTTATGACAGGTATGTCATTAAATGTAGCCAACACATCATCAGTAAATTTCCAGTAAATCTAGCCAACACATGATCATTTGGAAGAAAGACATCAATAAGAGAAGACAAAAAAGAACATTAAAATAAACTTGATTTGTTGATACAGTTTAAAGAACAGTTACCCACACGCAGGATATGGCTCTACACATGTGATTTTGAAAAGGGTTCTGTGGGATAACTTTATGGTAACCTTATAGTGACTTGTTTATTGTTCAAGACCACGTGAAGGCCTAGCAATGGGAAAAATGATCTGTGTAATAGTGGAAAACCTGAGCATGAATGAGTGATAAATCAGTCAGAGTCCGAGATTTAATGAGGCAAATAAAAATGAAATAAAAACACTGCCTGCATGTGAGCTGCATGTCCATTGGGGTTATTATGGCCCATTATGTTGCACAATTACATCTAACTGGCTCCCAGGCCGCCTAAGGGATCCACAGAAAACTGACCACAGGGAAACTGATTAGGCTTAATATGTAAACAGATATTCTTTTTTTTCCATCTCTGTGTTGGAAACATTTAACCACACAGAAACCTTACACTTTGCTACTTTTATATAGACAGATTTAATAATATTAATAATAATTACAATTAAATTAAAAGTTAGCTTGGTTGCCAATAGTAAGAAAACAGTGTTTGGTGTCAGTTTTTTTAATTCTAATGAAATAAACTAGTGACTAATTAACTGAAATCTGTTGATGCCACTTTTATTCGAATAATAAATTACCAGTAGAACCCCGTGTTTTATTATTGACTAGCGTAGAGCCAAGGCAACATAACAGGTTACGTGACCTCTGGAAAGGGGTCAGATTTATTGTAGCAACGAATCGTAGCAACACAGAGAGTCCATGACGACGATGGTTGCGAGATCTTAGATCATGTGTTGGAATGCGACAGTGTTTGAGAACTTTACACAGATCAAGTAGTTCCGGAGCCGCATTGAAAGCTTGCGCTGTCCTGAGCAATAAACATGGGCTGTGGGAGCTCCAAAATCACGGTGGTTGAACCCGTAAAACCGAGCAGTCTGAACGGAAATGAGGTCAGCTGTAGTCTTTTTGTTATTCGATTTATAATGATGTAAAATATGAATTAAAAAACTGAATATTAGCGAGTTGGTAGTGGTTATAATATGTTGAAACATATGAGGAAACTGATGAAGATATCTGTTGTTCCCTCAACTGTGATATTTAATAGTCTATATTAGGTGAATTAGATGAATAATTAAACAAAATGAAATGCTTAAGCTGGTTTTAGCTGATTTCAACTGGTTTCCCATTCCCAAATCCTTCAAAAACCAGCCAGCAGACCAGGTAAACTAGGTCAAGACACAATACAAGACAAGCAAACAATTTAGGCAGTCAAGTGTTCTGTTATATGCAGACTTCTATCTGACTTACTTTGCTTTTATTTTGTAGACCGAAACTCTGGACTTTGTTGTGGCTCAGGGAGGCTCTCGAGGTGACTCTGCAGTGTCCAAAATGACCACAGATAGCGGGGTCAGTCTGGAAGCAGCAGAGCCATCGGTTCTGCCTGGATCTGTACCTAGAGTCCTGCCACCGCTACAAGGTTAGATAGAAATTCTTAGAACAGCTTGATGTTGTTTCACTTTAAATGAACCAAAAACTGCTGACCAACTTTGAGTTCTTTCAGAGGAAAGCTGAAATTGAATAAAAAATATAAAATAGAATGTAGGAAATGAACTAAGTCTAATAGTTATTTTGACCTACACGTTGTGTGAAATCTAGGCCAGAGTCCTGGACTGGCCCAGCAAACTGAAGAGAGGCCTGAGTCCGGTGAGATCCTGGAGCAACTGCTTGTTCAAGGAATCATTCCTGCTCAGCCAAGACACGGAGGAAGTGGGGAAGCCTACAACATCATGGTGAGGGCTGAAAAGTGTAAATCTTGAAATATAAAAAGTGTTAAATAATGCTGCTATAATTTCTCAAATATTACATTTTCCCACATTAAACAACACTCTAAGAAAAGTCTGTAAAAGCAGGGCAGAGTGTTAATATGAAGGAATATTTCTTATTGATTGTTCACAGGTGTTTAACCTGTATTTTGAATTACGCATTGCGTTGTGTTGAGTTTTAGGGTTACAGGAAATACCCGAAACCTTTTTCTTCAGATGTTTTTCTTACAGTGAAGAATATTTTGCATGCCTATAATCCTTACTGGAATAGTCTTTATTATTGCAAGACTCTCTAAAATACTTGAACCTGATTGGTCAGTTGTGACTTTCTGCAGTCAAATCTTTTTGTGTAATGAGCTCTAAACTGTGTATTTGACCATTGTTACTGGCAACCAACTCTTATACTAGTTCCATGTCTTGTGTTTTTTCACAAAATGAAATAATTTTAACCTAAATCAATAGACCTTTGAGAGAAAGACGTACAGTGTTTATTGGATTAAACTAATGTTTAACAACATACAAGAACAACTGTTTTTCTGAAAAAATAAATACATTTCAGTAGACAAAAACGTCATAAGAGTTTAGAAAGTTGTGAGTTGTGAAAAATACATGATCTATTACATGTGCCATTGTAAATACTGTAAGTCTATCCCTCACAGCCTCGTTTTCATCCATGTTATGCCATCTAGCCTCATTAAGAACTACATATGACATATTTATTTACTTATTTGGTACACTGCCATGTAATATGTGTGATCATATATTTTAGCTGATAATTTTTCCAAAATAAACCGCTTGATTACAAGACAAGACAAGAAAAAATCTGTAATTGAACTTTCATATTGTGTGTGTATGCACAATACTTTCAACAAACATTTATAATGTCTGTTAGATGGATGAATTTGGGAAGCCAAGGAGAAGACCACCCGCTCGGCTAGAGTCACTGAAAATTAGCAAAGAACAAGAAGTCACCAGAAAGGAAGACATTGAGATGAAGATGAGACAAGTGGAGGAGAGGAGAAAGGTAAAGCAGAACCAAATGACATTTATCATTCATTCACTTTTAATGCATTTAAAATCTCTTAACTAATATTCAGCACACTGTATTTGATCTAATTGTTTGTTGAGCTGCAATTAGATTGTATTAGCATAAGTATGTGGCACAACGTTATGATATATGGCTAAAACATCTGTTTTAGGAGAAAGAGGAGGACCTGAAACACAGGTTGAGGATTAAATCAGCGCGGCCGCGTGTCGCTGCCCCAGTGACCGCGGAGCGGGAACTCGACCTCACGGAACTGCTCCATTCTGAACAGCTTCCTGTCCCAACCAGAACCAAACAGCTACAGATGCCAATCAATGGAGAGTCTGAGGACCAAAGGCTTACTGATTCCCCAGAACTGGAAAATGACTCCACCTTCCAACAGACTGAAGACAAAGATGAGGGATTTTAAACCTGCTGCTTATGTGTGTTTCAGAATGACACATGCAGGATAACCTGCCTCCATACATACAGAAGCAGCTTGATCTAGTGATGTTTCCTAATGTACATTCTTAGAGTTGCACATGCACTTTACATGTTATTCACGTTATTAATCTTGTTTATTTTAATACAGGGTATGGCTCAGATCAAATTCTGAGCTTGGGTTTTACATTATTATATAGAAAAAGAAATGGAAATATGTGCCTAATAAGTGTAAACAGGTTGATGCATTATGTAGGTAGCAGAACAATGATTAGAAGGGTTAACAATTCAGCATGATCTATATGTATGAGTTAGTTGCCAATGAGATATTTCTTTCAGTGCTCATATGCTCTGAATCTTAAGAACATTATTCTTGTACGATATACACCATTCAAAAGTTTGGGGCAAGTAAGATTTTTAAATGTTTTTGTATAAAAGTCTGTTGTACTCACCAAGGCTGCATTTATTTGATCAAAAATACAGTAAAAATAGAAATATATCTAATATGCAGATTTTTTTGCTCAAGTAACATCTTCTATTATTATTATCCACGTTGAAAACAGTTATGCTGCTTAATCTTCATGTGGAAGTCATGATACATTTCCCCCAGGATTCTTAGATGAATAGAAATTTCAAAAGAACAGCATTTACTTGAAATAGAAATCTTTTGTAACATTAATTTATAAATGTCTGTACTGTGACTTTTGATCAATTTAATGCATCCTTGCTGAATGAAAGTATAAATTTTTTACTAACCCCAAACTTTTTATGTACAGTTTATCATATAAACTACTTTTATATGCAATCAGTTATTAGAATAATCTGTGAGATATTTTGTCCAAAAATCAGTATATTCTTTTAAACACTCAGTTGCAATTATGTACCTTCCAATGAAGGTAAAATGGCTGTCCACAAGGTGGCGCTACTTAGTTTATGTAGTAGGCTGAAATGGGAAATTGTTTTCTGTCTTGGAAACAGTGGAAATCTGAGATGGCTCTCTGCTGTTTTCTTTGCATGTTATCTCTTTGTAAGTATGATGGTGTAACTGTCTTAAGTAACTAGGCCTCTTGCAATTTGCTAATTATATAAAACTAGATCACTTTAAAAACATGTCGTGTGTGTGTGTGTGTGTGTGTGCTGTTACAGCTGCCAGTGATTTGTCTGCCTGCACTGACATTCCGACAGGTCCCACCTGTTACATTTGAAAATGCACCCTCTATCAAAGCAGTAATGCCTCACTATTCAAACTGGCTCTTGTCAGACAGGCTTTTATGATTCCATATGAAAATTAGCATCACAGACTCAAACACTAAAACATATGTGCCGCGCAACTAGATTTCACCTGACTTTATCCAAATAAACGAAGCATACGGTTATAGAATTTTCAACCCTAACCTTTTACGACTTGTATGTGTGTGTGGCTTTCAAAGCCGTTCAGCTGTCCGCTAGAACAATGACCTCTGAAGGCCTTAAATGTGTGTTTGTGTGAGTGAGTGACTGTGTTTGACAGGTGGATTGTGTTGAGGGCTCTCCAAAATCTCTCGGTAGTCTCTTGTTCTTTTTGTTTGCCCTACAAAATCAGCATTAGGTCTATTATAAACTATTCCGTCAGTGTAACCCCAACTTGAAAAGGAGAAGAACTAACAAGACAGGTTATATCCATTAACTTTATGGAATATTCTGGATTCAAGATTAAGGGTTCAAGTTAAGCTAAATCAACAGTACTATTCGGTGTAAAAAAGAAATTTTAATGGCATTTAAAATGGAATTGAATCAATAGAATTGTATGTGTGTTAACCAGGGTTATTATAGTAAACTAAAGCTATTAAAAACATGTTCATTACTTAAAATAATTTATCTGAAATAAAATAAAATATAAAAAAACTTAAACTTATTTTATTTCAGCTAGTTTCCAAGGCAACATTTCTCATTTTCATTTAGTTTAACTTGATGTACTAAAATAACTAAACTAAAACTGAAATATTAATACTATTAAAAACATGTTCATTACTTAAAATAATTTATCTGAAATAAAATAAAATATAAAAAAAACTTAAACTTATTTTATTTCAGCTTGTTTCCAAGGCAACATTTCTCATTTTCATTTAGTTTAACTTGATGTACTAAAATAACTAAACTAAAACTGAAATATTAATAAAACTTATATAACCTATATACCTATAAACCTACTAATAAAAATGACAAAATTACTGAAACTTTGAAAGCAGAAAATAAAAACAAAATCTAATTCAAAATATCAACAAAAAAACTATAAAAAAAACACTGGTGTAAACATGATTTTACTGTGGAAAAACACGTAAAAATTTTCTATGTAAAGTTATATCCAATTTTACAACTTCGCTGCCATGACAACATAACACCTAAAACACTTAAACAACTGTAAAAATGACAATACCAATTTTACCAAGTTCAAAGTTTTAACATAAAAATGAATGTCAGTTATAAAAGTATGAGCTTCAAATTTCTGCTTTTAAATCCTTAAAATTGGCTCCTTTGACTTCTATTGTAAATACCTTGCAGAACCTTTGGTTTTTGCTTTTTTTAAGAAAAAAAGGGACGAGTCAAAATTGTTTCGGTGGAAATCAACATTATTTCACAAATGCTGTCAATTTAGCTTTGTCTATTGAACCCAGAATATTCCTTCCGATGGAAAGTTTATGAAATTGATTGCCAATCAAGTTATGCAGTGGGTGCCCATAAAACTGTACAGGAAAAACGATTAAGTCAATGTCTTGTAGGTAAATGTAGACAAGCTCCTGAAAGAAGATAGGCCTCCTTTTGTAGCTGTGCTGAAACACAAAGCCATCTCCCTTGCAGCGCCTCCACTCGCAGCTTAATGAGCGTGTGGCCCGGCATGAATAAATGAGTTGACTCATGGATGCTCTCGATCGAGTTCCTACCTGACATTTTTTTATATAAAGCCTCAGTTATCCATCCACGGGCGTCAGGATCTCCACATGGCTTGGCGGGTCACACCACACAGGCTAGTTCTCGGGTTGCAAGCTTCCACAAAAACTCCATCACCCAAGTGCTTTGGACGTTGTATGGTCTAAATGAAAAGGCTGTTTAATAATTTACCTGGTGACATATCACGTTCCTCCCAATTATATGGAGACCTAGAAAATAGTCTGTTCTTTTTGTCCTAAAAGAGATCGGGATGGTCTGACATCAGCAGCTGTAATTGTCGGTGATTGTTGTAAAGATGCGCCTTTCACATGTCAAAGAAACGTTAGAATGCTATACTATACGTTTAATTCATTATTAACTGATTTTAATTTGATGTTGCAATAAATAGCAGTATGAAGTAGAGACATTTGCATATTTCTACAAATTCATGTTACAAAAATGCTAAAAATGTATTAAAGACGGTGAAATAATTCTAATCAAATGGTGACCACTGAACAAAATAAATAGAAATATATATATATTATATTTATTAAAATGTTGATAAAAAATGTTCAAATTTCAAAAAAAGTGTAAAAAGAAATGAAAGGTGTTGACTACACAAAATGAGTGCTTTTATGCTGCAGATACTCATTGAGGGATGCAGATAACATGTCCAGACACTCACTCTGTTTTTAGTTTCAATGAGAGAGAGCATTTGAAACGTGTCCATTCTCCAGCACAGCTGTGTATGCTCCTCTGTTTTTGAGTCCTCACCTGAAGAACTCTTTTATCTCTTACCCACCACCTGCCAAGTTGTCCCAATGGACAAGATCAGCCTAATAAGATATGATTGGTTTGTTTCTGTGCTTATCTACAGCTAGCTATGTCTATTATTAGTGACCAAGTGCAGAAGGTGTGTGGAAACATTTTTGTTAGCAGCATTTTGCTTGAATTTTTCTAAATTCGTGAAATCTCGATAGATTCCATGGGCCATACTGAGTTTTTGATTCAGCCATATTTTCTATTTGCCATTTTGCCATAAAAAGATATGTTAAAATGCTATATTTATATCAAGCTCACCCTTGATTAGTGTCATCAACACTATGTCCTGAAGGGGCCAAAAGAGGATAAAATACATTTTAAATCCTAAATAAATTATATATATTTATTTATATATATTTTTTAAGAATAAATAAAAACAATTGACAAAAATGCTACAAATTACTTTTTTTTTTTTTAAATGTATAAAGTCATTCTTTTGTTCTTTTCTTATGCATTGGGTCATATGGAGTTAACCCAATTTGTGTCAGCCATATTGCTTGTCTGCCTTTTTGAATTTAGCAATTAAGTTTATTTGTAACAGATCTGCGCTGTCATGTTTTGTTTTTGCCTGAAGCCATATTTGTGGCTTCAGGCAAAAGGGAAGCCACAAATATGGGGGGGGGGGGGGGACAGTTTAAACCAGCATAATCTGGTTTAACCCAGCACAGTTTGCTGGTCTTCCAGCCGGGTCTGTAGGCTGGTTTTATAGGGATCTCAGGCAGTATTCGGCTGACCTTCTAGAGTTTTAGAACATTTTTTCAGCTGGTCTGGCTGGGAGACCAGCTTGCTGACCAGCTTGGCAAGGCTGGGAGACCAGTTAAAACCATAAAATCACATGTTTGGTTTAATCTGTTTTTTATGAGCAAGCTTACTGTTAGAAAAGTGTGGCGTTTGGAGTATTGTTTTCCTATCATACACAAATTGACATGCATTTACTAAAACAACAACTGTGTGAAATGTCTACAGTTCTTGAACAAAGGCACACAGATGCCCGTTGTGCGCCGTCCAGCTGTTGTTCAGCGCGTGTAGTGGGCGTGGGGTCAAGCGTGCTCGTACCTCCCTCAGAGTGATCTGGGTGTGGTTTAACCGGGTGCTTTTAGGAATGGGTCACACGCACTTTTTAGAAGTCACGTCAGTTTGGAAGAGGAGTTTGACCCACCTGATGATCCTTGGCTCAATCCGCTCCACATTAGGCTATTTACCACATTAATCTACCTCTGACATTAAACCCATCTGCGAGCGTGCGTTTTATATTTCTCAGCAATCGCTTTTTGTAACTTCTAGTGAATATTTTAACGGAATATTAACGGGGTGGTACGGTCATTATCAGTCCTAAATTGCACTATCGACATTTTTTTATTTTTTTTTTGCACTTGAGCATTTTTGTGAGGATGCATACCACCCAAAAGGACACCACTTATACCAAGATATTTGTCGGTGGTCTTCCGTATCATACGACGGATTCCAGTCTAAGGAAATATTTTGAAGTGTTTGGCGAAATAGAAGAAGCGGTGGTGATTACCGACAGACAGACTGGAAAGTCCAGGGGTTATGGATTTGTAAGTATTCCCACTATGACGTTAGAGGCTGTCAAACGTAAACTTTGAAGCAAACATTTTGCGCCACGGCTGTGTGACAGCGTGACACAACACACTTAAATTGCAACTCACCAGATCTAATGCAGGCGACTTTTATAATCAAACGCACTTTGTTTCTGCGTAACGCGCGTGCTTGACGACTCATATCTTTAGTAAGTGGCCGCTAAACCTTTCAAACTTTTACAATTGTTTTACACTATCTGCTTGCATTTCTTTTACTGGTTGATATTGAAACCTGTGCTGTAAAAGGGACAGTTCACCCCAGTTAACTCCCATTAACCCACCCTCATGTTGTCCTGGCGAACACAAACGAAATCTTAGGCTGAATATCTCAGTCCCTATTCACTTTCATTTTATGTAAGAAAAGACATAAGGAAAGTGAACTCTGACTGAGACCGTCATCTCCTTTTGTATTCTAAGACATTTATGCGGGTAATAATTTTTGAGTAAACGGCCCCTTTAAATCTAAAATACACGGAGTGTACATTTAAGCCACATGTTAATCAGAATATTCCTGATCGAATAAAGTGCACAGCTGAAGTCTTAAACAGGGCCTTGTTGGCTCAGCTGTCGAGTTTGACTAGAAGCACCCCGATAAGAGTTCCTCAGCGACTGAGTAAACAAGCCAACTTGTAAAGTTTTGACAGTCCACACAGCAGCAGTTAAGGGACCCTAAGTGGATTTCATAATAAACCTGTTGCCTGCTTCACGAGAATATCCAACATTAGACATAGAAAACCTTGAGTGACCTAAATGTCTTTAATGATTTTGTTGACCAGACATCTTAGAAATAAGTAAACACCAAGTAAAGCACACCATCTTGTGTTTAAAGCCTCATTTGGGGCAGAGGTCATGAGGGTGTTTAAAGCAATTATGTGAAGTCTGCAATGGCTTTCTCTGGCTATTTAGTACCGAATAGGGTCATTGATGCTTGGATATATATATATATATTTATGTTGCCAGAATTAGAATATCCCTTTAGTTTTTAGAGCATTTGTTGCTTCTGTATCTCTCATGCACCACACTTCTCTATTTTAAACTAGGTGACTATGGCAGACCGCTCTGCTGCAGACAGAGCTTGTAAGGACCCCAACCCCATCATCGATGGCAGGAAAGCCAACGTTAACCTGGCTTATCTCGGAGCCAAGCCACGGGTGATGCAGCCAGGTGAGGCTTCTATGTGTTGCTATGAAGAGCAAAGAAGATAATGTTCATGAGTGGAAGCCATTGGTTAACAACTGCATCGCTCTTTTATATATTGACACAATGACTAAGGATGACCAACAAGGTTTGGGTGACAAAGCGCAGATAGATTTATTTTCCTGCAAAAGCATTGGCATTTTTCAGTTGTGTAGTTTCTTTCTTTGTACATGCACTGATGTTTACCTAAGGTTTTCAGGGCTTAATTAATGGTAAACAGTAACTGTAAAGGAGATTAGAGATGTAATGATGTGATTGACTGTAAGCTATTGTACTTCATGTGTACAGTCCCACTGACTTGGCAAACTTGTTCAAAACAGCAGTTCCACCAATCTTTATCTTTAGCAGATTTAGTTGGGATTATAACATTTGTCGTTTTGTAAAAATGATAAGAGCAATGTTAACATGCTATTTAATGCTTTTGTGTGCAGGCTTTACTTTCGGTGTCCCTCAGGTTCACCCTGCTTTCATCCAAAGACCATATGGGTGAGTAACAGTAACACCTAGAACTGTGAAAAAATTGATTATGTAGGTGTTCAGTGGTAGTTTTAAACATCAAACCAGTTTAAGGACCAGATTATGAACTCACAGAGTTCATAATCACATGAACAAAAGGTTTTTTATACATTGATAATAGGGAAGACATGATGTTCAAATGCTTATTCATAATTACTGAATCTTATTTAATACTTTGATTGATGTTGAGAGTGTTTACGTGTGTGTGTGTGTGTGTGTGTGTGTGTGTGTGTGTGAGAGAGAGAGAGAGAGAGAGAGGGAAAGAAGATCTTTTACACTGGACACTATAGCCTGACTCAATGTTGTCTATCTTTCTCTGGTCCGACAGGCTCGATTTGGGTTAAGATAGCTGGTGGTTTGAGGAATAGCTCTGAGAGCTTTGTGCAGATCTGTAGCTACAGTACCTGTAGACTCAAACACACACAAACAAGCTCGAAAATGGTGATTACAGATGCATGTATGTTGGTTTTATTTTGGTTTGGACTTTCACTTTTAATAGTACATAGAGCTGTGTGTGCCTTTTTACAGTTATGAAGTGGTGTTGATAGCTTAACTGTGTGCTTTTTTTAATTTAATGGAAAAAAGGCTAGTTTGGGGTGCTGAATTTCCGTGTTGTGGAGGAGTGATAACTTTGCCACTGAGCAAAGTGTGATTTTACTTTGCTTCCTTTTATTTTCTTCACTTTTTATTTTTTTTTATTGCTGGAGCTTGTGTTTTTGATCATTATTTTATTTTATTTCTTTCACTTTTTTGTGTTTTCTGGTGTCTTGTTATTGGAGTGAGTGCCGTTTTGTTTTGTGTGCCATTGTTGATCCCTCTTCACGCCAACCCAACAGTCCGACTACAAACTTGCACGTTGCGGTTTTATTTTGCTCACTGATTGGGCATCCTGTCACACTCACAACACAGAGACACGTACCGTTCTCTCACCTCTCCATCGTGTCTGTTCATTTCTCCTCCTTTTTCAGCTCTCGCTCTCTCACTGTTTCTCCACTGTCAAGCCCTATAAGGCATCCTGCATTGGATCCAGAGTCTCTAGAGTCCTGCTGCCAAGTGATGATGTCCTTATAAATTCCCTGTTGACCATTTCTGTATGAAAACGAAACCAACCAGGGGTAGTTTACCCAAACAAAAATATACCAATTTACTCAGCCACTTATTGTTCCTGTATATTTTTTTTCTTCAGTAAAATGCAAAAAGAGATTGGAAAGCAGCATGAGATGTCTGAGATGTTCTTTTCCATACAACTAAAGTGGATCATTTTTATATTGCCAAGCTCCAAAAAGGACAAAAAAGCACTATAAAAGCATCTTAATGATTGCGCTATATTCCAAGTCTTTTGAAGCCATATGATGGCTTTATGTGATGAAAAGACATTTAAGTAGTTATTTGCTAAAAGTGAACTGCAAAACTAGCGTATTTAAGCATTGACACCTTATACAATGGGATCTTTTGTGTCTTTTCTGTGTATAACTTAAATTCTGTTCCACACACAGAATTATTGAATAGGTTCAGAAGATTTGAAGTATAGATTACGAGTCTGTTTTGTGATATTTTTATAGTGCTTCTTTTGCCATTTTGGTGCTTGGCATTAAAAATCACCATGTACAGTGGGTACGGAAAGTATTCAGACCCCCTTAAATTTTTCACTCTTTGTTATATTGCAGCCATTTGCTAAAATCATTTAAGTTAATTTTTACTGTATATGGAAATGAACATCTCGGATCTCACTTCTTATTTTATGTTTCCGGAAAAAAGAAAATACAGGCATGGAATGACATGAGGGTGAGTAAATGATAATAGAATTGTCTATTTATGAGTTTATTACTTTTGTAACTGTGCCTATTACCGGCTCATGCAAGTTTGCCGTTCAAAAGTTTGAGGTTGGTCTTTTTTTCTTTTCTTTAAAAAAAAAAAATTGTTTTCGATAGAGGCCTCTCAAGCTCACCAAGGCTGCTTTATTTTATATTATAATTTCATATTACTGTATTTATTATTTTAAACTTGCTGTTTTCTGTTTAATATATTTTAAAATGTGATTTATTCCTGTCTTGGCAAATCTGAATTTTCAGCATCCACAACTCCATTTTTTAGTGTCACATGATCCTTCAGAAATCATTCTAATAGCTGATTAGCTGCTCAAGAAAAAAAATCTTATTATTATCAATGTTGAAAATAGTTGTGCTGCTTAATATTTAAAAAAAAAAAATTTTTTTCAGGATTCTTTGAATAGAAAGTAAAAAAAAATTTTTTTTAAATGAAATCTTTTGCAAAATTATATACGTATTTACAGTCACTTTTTTAAATTTTATTTAATGCATTCTTGCTGAATGGTAAAAGTTAATTTCTTAACTTTTGAACAGTAGTGTAGTGTGTAAAGACAAAGAAACAACAGTTTACAGAGCAGCTTGACAATCTTCTGTAAGATCAGAAGGCATATTAAAAATCTGGCAGGCGTGCAGTGTCATTATGTAATCCGTGGAGGATTCCACAGTGTGTGCGTATGCGTGTGGGTGAACGTGTGTCTTTTTGTGACATGCATGCATGTGTTTGCAGTGTTGTGAGCCCTCTGCTGTGACAAACAAATGTCTGGATGCCACAGCCCCCTGAATGAGCCTTCGTCACATGGCCCCGTGCGGCGTTAAAGAAAACAAGCTTCACCATTGTTTTGCACAAAGGCTGCAGTGCTGACACTGCAGTCGCATGAAGCTTTCTCTCGCTCTTTAACACTGTCTTTCTCTTTCTCCCTCTCTCTCTCTGGCTCCGGTCACTGTCACACACTCTCTCGGCTTGGGGGGCTGGGCAGCTCCTGACATTTAGCTTCAAGATAAACTCAACAAGGCCCAACATGCGCCACATTGCTGCTGAGATGGCACCTCTTGCCTAGCACTAGTGCACTGTGTTAAGGCATTTTTTGACGGTGTTGTCAGGAAGCTGCGTGTCAAAAGAACAGTGGCATCATACTTTGACCTCAAAGCGGTTGGAAAAGGTTGTTCAGGGGCCAAACGCAACCAAACGGTGTTTGTAGTCAAATTGGGACTGTGTAATATATAGGCCAGGTTTGAAATTTGCAAAGTCATGCCAGTTCTGCAACTTTCTTTGTAGAGTTTCTCAAGAGTTCAGTGTTAAATATGACATTATCACACACAGTGTGTAAAAACAACCTAACCAGATCATGGCAACAAGGAGCATCTTGCCAATTACCTGTCTGCACAACAAATTTACCTTCAGGTATTAATAAAGAAACCTTGAACCTTGAATTTGTCCAAAGTGTGTAGAATATGTAAGTCTAGGTCTTGTTGCCCAGCTGAGTTGCACAGCTGAGATCTTCACAGATGACAACAGGTGACTTTTAGATCTTTGGAACTCCAAAATTGACCTTTATGTAGACACAAACCTCAAAGTTCCTGGGCTGCAGTGGTCTAGATGGAGAAATTGATATATTTATGGTTGCTCTTGAGCAGCACAGAACCAACAATTAATTTAATCTCTATTTGAAAGAACCTGATAACCAGTTGTCAATGGGAGTACGTTCTTTGTATAAATCACTGATTATTTTGGCTCATAGTCATGTGACTTGAGACATGAAAAAAAAAAAGACCGATCAGATGTGTAGTATTTTCTTAAGGGCTCGCTAGACAAATAGATAAAGATCTAGAAGGTGAAATCTTCTTCCGTTTAGAAAATGGCGTTCTAGTGTGGAATGACCGAGGAAGCAGAAAATAGCGTCCAGCCCTCCCTGTCACTCACACTGAAAGAGCTACACTGACTTTGTCTTGAGTCAGCTGCACTTTATTTAACACAAAAGTGTTTGCTTAAGGTTTCTGTCATTTCTCTGAAACTTGGTACTGCTTTTAGACGGAGTGTTCGGTATGAAACCCAATGTACTAAAAACCAATAGACCAACCTAATATTAGTCCATGTTGTAACAGACACGCACTGAGCAAGAGTATTACATTTTACCTATATATGTATTTTTTTTTTAATGTTTGGATTTTCTTTCTTAAAGATGTGCTTAGCTACATCCATTAAGAGCTAGAAGGTTTATTCCATTTATTTATTTGCTACTAACTTAAGCTATTCTTTATACAGTCCAGAGTCAAAAACACCTTAGTGACCAGCCACAGTTCTTTAGCAACCGCATAGCAGTGCCATAGCAACTACCCAGAATTACTTTTGCATGGACAAGCTCTGCTTATATTCTGTTGTCGTATTTTGGTGCAATTTCAATTTATTGATTTTTGATTTGATTGGTAACATTCTCATGCATCTAATTATTCTAATTACTAATTTTGTTACTTAATTAATTTAATTGAAACTGTGCCCCCAGAAAAGTAAAAAATGCCCGTAAAATCCGGTGGGCAAATATTGTCCCTTAATTGGTAATAATTAAATTGTTGGTGGTTAATTAATTTTAATAATAATTAGTTCATTTCTGGCACTGATACATATTTAAGTCACAGAATAAATGTGTTTGTTTAATATTTTAAGTGTGCACCTTGTTTTAAATTAGCGAAGTATTTTATTTATTAAATGAGTGAATAGTCACTTATGTGTGGTGATGTTTTTGTGTCGTGGTGCCTGTGCAGGTTGAATGTAAACTTCTCCATGTTTGAAGCCTACAGTATGTAGAGTGTGTTTTCACTGTGTTTGACTCTTTTGTGTATGACTCTAATGGTAGTCTATATTAACAAAATCCCTGCTGTCACCTCAGACTGGCAAGGCATCTATGAAAGATTTCATAGGAGCATCTTTACCCTTTGACCTGAGTGAGAAAAAGGAATTAAGGTTTCAGTCCTCTCATTTATGGCATTATGTGAGTGGTTGTGTTGTTTTAAGCTGATGTTGGTAATACGTACTGTTGCCTTTTTTTTTTTTTTTTCTTGACGCCTGTGTAATGCTTATTTTCTTTCATTTCATTTCGAGGTTTTGGATTTTGTTTTTGGGGTGGTCAGGGGTTGAGGTTTGATTGATATAGTTGTGTGCTACAAATAGGGTTGCCATGATAGAACTTTTTCAAACCAACTCCGAAATATTGGAAGTAATTAGCTCATATTCCAGTCATAAACATCATCTTAATAAATAGTTTTTCCCCCAACATCCACTGTTCCCTGTTTCTTTAAAGTCAAAATTTCACATAGTATCACAAATAGTTTTTCATAAGAATCTCTTCATAATTCTCACAGATGTCACTGTCTTTTACAATATAGATGTATTGCCTTATTAAATCATATTTAGTGAGTCACAGGCATTTCAATGCATTCTATCATCCCTGAACTAATTTAATAAGTTCTCACCTGTCTGTGTAGTGCAGACAGTAAATGTGAAAAGCGCTCTGAAAGTGCAATGGGGTACATAATGAAAGGCAGAATGGGCTCATTGTTCCTGATTGCTTATTTAATCAAAACGCCCCTCTGTGTGCGCTGTCCAGCCTGAGGCTTATTGTCTAAGTGCGGAGGGGGAAACAGCCAGCAACATCCCTTTTTGAAAACTGTCCAGCTGTCAAAGTAGCCCTGACATATTCACAATGCTCCCCTCATCTCCTCTTCGCTTCTCCTGGGTCCTACCTTCCCCCATTTCATAGGACGGACACAGGGGTGTTGAACGCATGTGACTTTTAACACCGATGATTCAGAATCTGTTAACTTAGCATTTTAAGTATTAAAAGGTGTTTAATATTTTTTCGAATGTTAAATAATTTTCTCCTGTCCCAGGTTAGCGTACAGACAATTTTTAGACAATTGTAGGTTGATTCGCCCAGGAAGTGTAAACACCGAGGCGTTATCAAAACATTGCTCTCTTTTGGCACTTTTCCACTGCACGGTACGGTTCACTTTTGGGGGGGGGTTTCCACTGGGTACAGTACCTAGTACTTTTCTTAGTACCACCTCGGTTGAGGTTCCAAGCGAACCGTACCGTTACCAAAACGTGACGTGTAAACTCTGCTGATCATGGATTGGCCCGGAGAGAATAGTCACTACCTGCGTCACTGAACTTGCGACACAAACACAACAGAACCGCTAGATTTAAATCAGCACAGCCAGCGAAGGATCAAACACAACCGTTTTGAACGAGCGCACCTTATTTTAACAACCAAAAAGGGGTTGTTTCGTGGTCTGTTGAGGAAGTACAGACGTTCCTCTCATTGATGGCAGAGGAGCGGCTCCAGCGAGAGCTTGATGGGGTGACGCGGAATGAAAAAGTTTTTCAGGAGTCTGATTTTGCAGTATAGGCAGCGCAACTATAACTACATGTGAATAATCCCGCCCATTCTAAAGCCATACTAAACTAAAATGGAAACGCAAACTGAGCCGTGCCGTGCCGCGCCGAGTCGTTTTTTAAATACCTTTCATCCTTAAAATTGCTCTGTTTCATGGCTTTGGGTATGGAGAAAACGTTTGTTTGACCAATGACACACAGGGGAATATTGGAAAAACCTGTTTGAAAACAGTAATTATTTGGTAACGCTAATGGCATAGAAATTACACTTGTATAGAGAGATATCTATCAACCTTATATTTCTAATCACTAGCAGGCATTTCCGTGGTGTTATTGAATTGTGGAAATGGGGTGCTTGGCCGCGGTGTGGTTGTGGTTCTGTATTGAATGTGTCCATAATGCAATGCTAACATGCTGTTGGAGAGATATCTATTTTGGCAACCTTATATTTCTAATCACTAGCAGGCATTTCCGTGGTGTTATTGAATTGTGGAAATGGGGTGCTTGGCCGCGGTGTGGTTGTGGTTCTGTATTGAATGTGTCCATAATGCAATGCTAACATGCTGTTGTATTTGTCTCTCACAGGATCCCCACTCACTACGTGTACCCGCAGGCCTTTATGCAGCCCAGTGTGGTCATCCCTCACATCCAGCCAGCGGCGGCCTCCGCCACCGCGTCTTCACCTTACATCGACTATACAGGTGCAGCCTACGCACAGTACGCCAGTGCCGCAACCGCTGCAGCCGCTGCAGCCTACGAGCAATACCCGTACGCTGCCTCTCCAGCCGCAACCGGCTATGTAGCTACCGCCGGCTATGGCTACACCATGCAGCAGCCACTGGCCACCGCCGCGCCAGGGTCTGCAGCCGCAGCTGCGGCCTTCGGTCAGTACCAGCCCCAGCAGCTACAAGCCGAACGGATGCAATAGCAACCAAAGAGGCGGATGGGAGATGCACAGGGAGTAGACACCCAGCGACTGCTTCTAGATGATGAAGAGGATGCTGATGAAAATAGTTGCTGGTTGTGGGTTGATTGCAAGAGGAGGAAGACTAGGATCATATGGGAGGGGGATAGTAATTGGTAGAGAGATTATTAGTGAGATGGGAACCCCATTTCTTTCCAACTTGCTGTGATTAAAGAAAAAAAAACAACAACAAAACAAAACCCCCCCAAAAAAGATCGCAGAAATGGACGGAATCTAGCTTTTTACTATTATCATTATCATTATTATTATGTTATCTTTATTTCGATAATTAATATTAGAGTAGGATATTTATTATGAAAGGAGGTATGCAGCAACTAATCACTGTGGTATAGGTGCGTTGTAGACGAAACCTTTAGTCCCGATGCTGTCATTTAATGTAGGCGACCTTTTTTTCCGAAAGACACTTGGAAAAGTCCCACATTGTTTTGATTCTAGGGCCCCTGATCTTTATATTTATTCTCAATTTTTGAGGGCTCTTTTTGTTCTGTCTTCTTCTCAAGTGCATTTGTTTTGATCATCAGGGAAATGGAGCATTTTTCAGCGAATTAGAAATGACAAACTCTGCCAATCAGGGATAGTAGACCTAACTGTGGCGAAATGGAGAAAGATCCAGTGTTAGCATGTTTTATGTATTGTGAACTACCTTTTTATCTATCTGATGCTGAATGTCCCCCTTTTCTCTGACTCCTGTATTGATCTCCTGACCTATGCAAAGCAAACAGGCCGCCAGGGGACAAAACAAAGTGCAGGAACAGGAGAGATTTTCTTTTGCTCCCCCACAATGGGCATCAAACAATTTGAAGACAAAAAAAACTGAAACGTATTGTATTATATGCTTACAAAACACTCACGGACTAACAGGTACACCGTTATACACACATTTAAGTGTTAATGTCTGTCTGTGGGCGAGAGAGGACACACACACACACAAAGATTACTATGTGGGGAAAAAAAGCATGGGGCATTGCTCAGTACTAGTACTAGAATCCAGGAGCAATTGCTGTGTTGGAAGGAACAGGCACTGATACACACACACACACACACAGACAGATTGCTCTGGAAAGATCACTGGTGCTCGTTTGTTGAGCTGTCACAGTTTCATCACTTTCATCCTGCTCTGGGTCTGTCAGCTCTTCTTATCCTCCTAGATAGGGTCCGGAAGCTTGAGGACAGACCTGTGCATCCTCCCAATATCGGCAACAGATCTTTATCTGGAACACGACGAGGAGCCACAATAAGGGAGAGGGGTTCCCACAAGCTTTTCACCCTATACCAACGAGCCGCTATCTGCCTGGTCTTTATATGTTCACTAAGAATTATGTCTGAGCACCAGCACAAGTAATAAGGTCTATGTATTTCAATGAGCAACTCTTTACAGAACAGCACTATAGGGAAAGGATCCGAATCCATGCTGACTAGGGTTCTTTGTGTGCCTTACATTTGTAATGCTATTTAAAGAGATCTGCTATTTAAGATATTTATTTTGAGTTGACTTATGTTGCGCTCTAAGATCACAGGCTTGGAAGCGGTACTGTATGGATATAATGTATTCATCTCATGGCATATTATTCTAAGTTATTGAGTAGGCTTAGTTGTAGTATTATTAACATACTCAACCAAAAATGTTGGTGTAGGACTTATTTAAGATACAATTCTGTATGTGCACTGTACAAATCTTTTTATTTTTATTTTTTTATACATTTGGAACATGACATTAAATATCGGCTTAATGCCTATCATATGACATTTATTTTATTGGAGGCCTGCTGTTTCGAGCATGTTATCTCCATTTGTCATATCCAGAACTGTTTAAAAGACTTTAAAAAAAGGACAAAAGACCTGGCGAAACCTAAGGGACATGCTGCTTCATACACTAGAATGTTTTGTCAATGTCGAGGATGGATGCTGTGCTTCTATTGCTTAAAATATGCATCAGATGGGCTATTTTACACTGTTGAGAATTTTTATACTTGAACTCTTTCTTATAAGGGAAAATATTAAAAAAGAAGAAGAATAACACCACACAACAAAACAAGGACATTTTTCATTGTCACTGGATTTGGGCATGTAAAGTGTTATTGACTATTTAAATGGTATTTGGTATTTAAGCCTTCTTTTAAATTTTCAACACTATTTACTCAATGTAAATAAAAGGTTCTATATTTAAACCTCAAATGTTTTGTTCATTGCACAGGCCTGATTTTTGGCCTTGCATTTCATTGGATGCCTGGATGGTGTGCTCATGGATTGAGTGTTATATTGTGTAACCTATTCATTGTATTTCAAAAGCACACATTCTGGGTCATTGCTTCATCATTGAGTCATCCTGGTTCAAACTTATTATATGGTGAATTGCAAAATATTTCAGTGGCTTAAAGTGCTCATGTTTTGTTTCTTATGATCTTTGTTTAGACAGACGGTAGCTTTACCACAGCAGTGATGAAGAACAAGCTGTTGTGTGTTTCTCGTGGATGAAGGTGTCGTGAAAAAGCAGATATTCTCAGCAAGCCAACAGTATAAACACACAGGCCATCACTTATGTTTGCCACACACAGAGATGCTTATTTATGACCTTGTTTATGCTGGTTTGTGAGGTGACCAATTGAATTGACCTCAACCGTGTCTGTCCAGACATTGCTTAATAATAGAGCTGGTAGAGGAATATTCTGGGTTCAATACAAGTTAAGTTCAATCAACAGTTTTTGTGACAGTTAATATTGATAAGCACAAAAACTCACTCACTCCTCACTTAAAAAAAATTTTTGTGGTGAGGCACTTACAATGGAAAAAAATGTTATTTGTATTTTTTTGTTGCATGACAACAAAGTGGCTTCCTGCATGCCGAATACTGACTTTAATTTGTCACACAAAAGTATATAACATTATGTTAATAATATGTTTATTTTACAAATATGTATTTTGAAAATGCTTCAACATTTATTATTTTTTAAAAAGCTCAAAAATTATGCTAAGCATTTATTTTTCCAGGAATTTTATGACACTTAAATAAAAGTAATTAAACTATTCGTCTATAGACTTTCTTAAATTAATTTGGTGTCATTCAGTGACATATTTTCATTTTTTTCTGAATAGGTGTTTACCATTCTTTTAGTATATATTGCCTTTCATGGTGGCACTATCAAGATTCAAGATGCGCTTAGAAACCTTCTCAGTCTATCTATCTTACTGCTCTAGCTAGGCATCTCGATGTAACCTTTCTCTGATACATCCTTCCCAAATACGGAAGTCCCGGAAGCGGCTGCCCGTGGCTCAGCTGAGTGACAGCAGGGAGAGCGCCGGGGACGCAGGACCAGACCTCCATAGCCGAACCACATCTCGCCAAGAAAACGTGAGAGTAAACCCTGGATTCCTTGTCAGAGGTAATATTTCGGTAAAAATGAGTCTGTGTCATGTTATTATTCCAGGTCGTTAGCGGGACGCTCTGAGCGGGTGGGAGGTTCTCATGGAAACGTGCGCGTTTTTGTGTTTGGAGACACGCGCACTCGCTGTGCTGGCAGGATTTTGGCATGAACTAGCACAATTTTAGGTTGCAGTGGTGTGTCGGTGTCAGAGGGCAGGGTGCCTTATCTTTTCACTAATTGCAGGATCTGTCAGTTGTCATATCAGCGCGCACAGGCGTCTGCTGCTGCCTGTGGGATAGAGATGACAGACAGGCTAGTTACTTTAGCTCTGTTAGACACGCGCTACATTTGAAGTGATGCTACTGTCTAATAGCCTAGTAGTTCAATTCTTGTCATAAATCAATAGGGTGACATACTCCCCTTGTAGGCTTGTATATTGGCTAGATGGTACAAGATTCAATATTCCTTTATAAAGTGTTTTCATAATTTTGAATAGTATTTTTATAGTATTTATACATAATATGCCCCATCACCATTTATTCAAGCACACTAAATGAATTACCCACATGGCTTGTATATTTGCTAGATTTCAAAATTGAGTGCGTTTTTGCAATTGTATTATTTAAAAAAATATATTACCTATTAAAAATGTAAAAAATATAATACAAAAAAAAAGTAAAAAAAAAAAAAATTTAAACACTACTGCCAATGCTTCTAATTCTAGTGCTATATGAAATATGTATAGAAGTTATTTTAAATATAAATAGTAGATGAATTGTGGTCAAGTTTTATGTTAATCAGAATCTGAACCAGAATCAGATTTACTGCCAAATGCTTACATAAACACACAAGGAATTTGGAGAAATACACAGAATTTTTTTAATTTAAATATGTTTGTATGGACACAATAGATAAGATATGCATGTACAAAATCTATACAGATACAATTATGCAAGAGAATGTAAATAACAAAGGTGATACTGATTAAAAATGAAAATTCAGTAGTTTTCACCAGGGTGTCACATCTCCCACCTATTTGGGAGATAGTCATTACTTTGTGTCCCCGCTCTTTACAAAACATTCCTACACCCCTGGTAAGAAAATTATGTAAATGATGTAGATGCACAAACTATATTTCTTCCACTTCAAAATATCCACCAGACAGCCCATGAAAATATTTGTAGCATCTATATTAGTGTCCCTATAACGTCTAGAGAAGTTGAGCTAAAGATGTCCATATATATATATATATATATATATATATATATATATATATATATATATATATATATATATATTAATTCAATATGCAATCAGTGTTTTCTTGAAAGGACGTTACATTGGCATTCAGGGCATATGCTTTGAAATGTTTATTAGCACATGGGCTCAGACCCTCAGTCACCTTCTCTCCCCTGTATCCGGGTGAAGCATTGCTCTGCATTTAGAGTCTGAGAATAGACATTCAGAAATAGAAAAGAGTGCCTAGTAACTGCATCACTCCTGAAATATTAGTTCAGCAGCATTTATCATGCTTTATTGCAGACTAACCACACAGGCCTACTAGATATTTTGAGTCATTTTTTGGCCTGTAATGTTGAGCACTGTGCTCAAGTCATGTAGCCACTGGTTAGATGATCTCTACTTAAAGGAACACTCCACTACTTTTGAAAATAGGCTCATTTTCCAACTCCCCTAGAGTTAAACAGTTGAGTTTTACCGTTTTCAAATCCATTCAGCCGATCGGTAGCACTTTTAACTCAGCTTAGCAGAGATCATTGAATCTGATTTGACTGTTAGCATCTCGCTCAAAAATGACCAAAGAGTTTCTATATTTTTCCTGTTTAAGACTGGACTCTTCTGTAGTTACATCGTGTACTAAGACCGACGGAAAATTAAAAGTTGCGATTTTCTAGGCCGATATGGCTAGGAACTATACTCTCATTCCGGTGTAATAATCAAGGAACTTTGCTGCCGTACCATGGGTGCAGCAGGTGCAATGATATTACGCAGCGCCTGAAAATAGTCCCAGTTAGGTAACTTCCAATCATTGCACCTGCTGCACCCATGGTACGGCAGCAAAGTTCCTTGATTATTACACCGGAATGAGAGTATAGTTCCTAGCCATATCGGCCTAGAAAATCGCAACTTTTAATTTTCCGTCGGTCTTAGTACACGATGTAACTACAGAAGAGTCCAGTTTTAAACAGGAAAAATATAGAAACTCTTTGGTCATTTTTTGAGCGAGATGCTAACGGTCTAATCAGATTCAATGATCTGTGCTAAGCTAAGCTAAAAGTGCTACCTCCAGACCCAGAGATCGGCTGAATGGATTCGAAAACGGTAAAACTCAACAGTTTAACTCTAGGGGAGTTGGAAAATGAGCCTATTTTCAAAAGTAGTGGAGTGTTCCTTTAAGCTGGAGGTTTGGTGCACTGTGTTTTAGAAACAAATCTGTCTGTGTCACAAGCTCAGAGCTTATTCTTCCTCTCTGAAAAGCCCAACTGAGGCCCAGGTCAGGCATTTGGCAGGGCCTAGAGAATTCTCTAGAGAGATAACAAGATGACGTGAGCGTTTCCACACTGGGTCACTATTAATTACTGCTGACGTGTGTCAGAGAGAGAGTTGCTCTTTTAGTAGCTACATGTTAAATGCAGCAAATACAGCTCTTTTGTTGTCTGTTCTATCTTTAATGTGCAGGTGAATGAATCAGTGTGGTGTGCTGTTAGCTCCTCGCTGCTATTGTATGATGTTGGATTGTGTGAAGGTGGTCAGGTTATAAGTTGCTAATATTGTTTGCGGGATTGTGCTTCTTTGTATATTTGATCTCTATAAACATTATACCAGTCTTTTCTTTTTCGTTTTGTAACAGACATGATTTTTCAATTGAATCAGAATAACTGACCAAATATATGTATATAAAGGGAATCTACAATACAGCTACAAACACAGTTTTGAAAAAGTCAGAGTTAATAGGTAACAGTGATCACAATGTGATTATTATTTTTCAGTGATATGAACCAGATTGGATGATCAAATTCCACTTCTTTCCTCTAATAAGAATGATGATGATTATGATAAGCTGTTTGTTAGACTTCAAATACCAGCATGAGAAAACGGTTTGAAATTGTGTAATATTTCAAACTTTTTTTACTTAAAGTGTGTGTGTATATGTACACACACACACACACACACACACACACACACAATATGTATATGTTTGTGTGTGTGTGTAAATATATATATATATATATATATATATATGGTCTAATGACTGATTTGATGTATTTTTTATTAATAACTAAAAAACATATTAATGACTAAAACATTTCAGATATAGAACATAATTTGTAATTGCTGATCAGGTGCTCAGATGGAGGCTGAAACATGTCAAGATAGCAGCGATATTTATGGTTTGTTCTTTTATTGGTTGAGTTCTTTTTGAAAGGTTTTAATATGGGGATGAACATGTTATGTAGTTAAATAGTTTGATAAACTGCTGATTTTGGATTGTTGACAGCAGCGTTTGTGGCCTCCTCTTGATGCTGTCATACCTGAATTGACTGTTACATTCCTGTTAGCAGATGAGTATTGAGGTGTGGTCATATGGACGGCTGCCAGTGAACACTCCACGCCTTCATATACTCAGTGTGTGTCTGCTAGATTTGCAGAAAGCCCATTCGAGCTAATACTTCATCATTTATAATAATATATTAATATCATTGTAATAATAATATTTTCTATATTTTTTGAAAATGGATGTTATTGATAGGTGTGGCTGGTTTAAGTAATGTTTATTATTATATTAATCATTAAGTAAACAAAAAGTGTTAACAGTTTTTACCTTAATCCCATTCTTGCAACATTTTCGCATACAATGGATTAGATCTCCTCCAAGAAAGTCAATAAAACGTTTCTCATAATTATTGTTGTCATGTTTCTGGGATATGTGCAGTTGTTTGACCGTTCCAGGGAGCAGAAAGTGTTTAATTTGGACTGACTGGTACTCAGGTCATGAAGTCCCTACAAATCAAACAGCTGTCATAGGCCATAATGGCCATTTAGCACAGACCAAGAGTTTGCTCTGTTTCTCCAGGACCGTTGTCATGGAAACACTGGTTGAGCGTCTGGAGCAGGCAGTGATTCGTCTGGAGGCGGTGGCGATCAAACTGCAGAACTGTCCTGAGGGTTTGGTCAACGGGGACATCAACAGCATGATCAACGGAGGTACCATAAGTACAACAGTGCTTTGGATGAAAGATCTTGACAGCAGTTGAATTATTCAATATATTAATAGTTTTTATTTATAAAGCATATGATGTAAAAATGCTGTTGAGGTCTGTCCACAGGGCATTGTCTGTACAGATTATCGTAAGGAGAAGACCTCTGACTTTTAGGGTTTTTTTCTTCATGGGAAAAATATTCTCATAGGGACAGAGTGGCATTGGTCTTGGCACGCTGCACATAGACACAGTCTGAAATATATAATGGATACGGATGTCAGTGAATGGGATTTCGGAATTCTCTCTTCTGCTTTCTCCAGTTCTTCTGCTGTTCCTTCAGTGTTTTCAGTCTTTTTTAAAAAATTTTTTTTTAGTTTGACCAATTCTTTTTGTTTTCTACTTCTGTTATCCATAGTGGCATAATTACTACTATTAACAATAATATTAATACTACAATTAATCATAATAATACTACTAATCATTTTAATATTAATTCTTCTTTTCAGCAGAAATTTGTTGTTGTAGTTATTTTTATACTGTTTTATTTTAGTCATTGTTTTGTGTCAAATCGCTGAAATACAACTAAATAACAAAAAATAGGCAGGAGTCTAAAATTGCTTGTCTTGTATCTGCTTGTCTTAAAAAAGAATATTGGTTGATCTTTATATTTCATTGTCTTGTCAAAGATCTCATTAGTTCCAAATCGACATTCTCTTGCAATATTAACATTTCTTTCCTTTTCCAACCCTGACGTCCCCAATAATGAATGGGATTTTAAAGCATCCTCTGTTGGATGTGTTGTTTGTTCTGTTAGACTCTGTTTATTCAGTTGAATTAATTTCTGTTGTCTCTTTGCTGTCTCTTTGATGTTAAGGTGAATCCGAAAGCATGGAGGCGTTCGACCATTTGCTGAGTGGTTCAGTGTCTGAATATTTGAGGACCAGCACAGCTATTGGTGGAGATGTGGCAAAGCATGTAAGTGTGAGCGGCTGTGAATACCAATGTCAATGCAGATTTTACAGAGAGACAGGAATACTGACAGAAGATGAGCAGAGGTAGATAATATAAGAGTGAAGTCATTCTCCTAAGAGCTCTTAGTTTATAGTACCAAAATGACTGCACACACTCACAGACGTCCAAACGTCAGCCCTAAAAAGTTGCTAAAAAGGAGCTCACAGCTCTTGCTGTCCAGCTTCACATAACTCTGCTATATTTGACAATTGACTTTGTGCTGTTCTGTTTCCCTGCAGACTTTTTAAATCCATTTGCATCATAACAAATGGAAAATGTTTTATTATAATCTGAAAGCAAATGTTTGAAAAATGGAAAAAGTGAAGGTAGAACAGCTTTTGTTTGTCTAAAGCTTATTTACAGAGACAACTCAGCTTGTTTAACTGCTAAAATAAACTGCTGCTTATTTTCGCTGCAGCAATGAAGTGCTGTATTAGTGTCTTGTTGGACTGGAAAATTACTGTTTTGCAGTGTTATTTTATTAAAAAAAGGTTATATTAACTTCTGGATTGTTATGAACTTATATAAAATATTTTTAAAAAGTCTAAGAGTAATAAAAAAAAAAACACTTCTGATAGTGTTGTTTCGAAATACACTATTGTTTAAAAGTTTAGGTTGGTAAGATTCATATGCTGACCAAGGGTGTTGACCAAAAATACAGTAAAAAAAAGTAATATTGTGAAATATTGATACAATTTAAAGTAACCATTTTCTATTGTAATATATTTATTCCTGTGTTTCATTCTAATAAGCTGATTTGGAGCTCAATAAATATGTCGTCTTGTTGTCAATGTTGAAAAAAAAATTTCTTGCTTAATATTTATGTGGAAACCATGATTTTTTCAGAATACTATGTTGAACAGAAAATTCAAAAGAACAGCATTTATCTATAATCTTTTGTTATATTATAAATGTCTTTACTGTCACTTTTGATCAATTTAATGCATCCTTGCTTTTTTTAAAGGGGTCATATGATGTTGCTAAAAAGAACATTATTTTGTGTATTTGGTGTAATGAAATGTGTTTATGCGGTTTAAGGTTAAAAAACCACATTATTTTCCACATAATGTACATTATTGTTGCTCCTCTATGCCCCGCCTTTCTGAAACGCATAGATTTTTACAAAGCTCATCGGTCTGAAAAGCGAGATGTGTTCTGATTGGCCAGCTATTCAGCGCGTTGTGATTGGCTGAATACCTCAAGCGTGTGATGGAAATGTTACGCCCCTACCATACTGTGATGCCGTGTCCCGGCCGGAGCGACGAGACAAAAAAAAAAAAAAGTGGCAAAATCTTTAAATATAAAAAACGTACTTACAGGCTGTGAGGCAGAAGCGCAAGACTGTCCTTGCAAAGTTGGAACTGCCCCACTTTATAGAAACAGCCTTTGTGCACAGACGCATTGTAGGCTACTCTGCAGGTTCAGGAAACAGTCCTCCATAAAATGTGCTGCACACATCTGAATATTTGGGTTGAACTGTTCTGGAACAGTGTTGTAAATACAACTTAACCACTGATTTCTAGT